AAGAGCCTTTGCTCTTGCTTAGGTCAATCATGCAGAGAGTCACCACCATGCAAACCCTGAGGGATAAACAGTGCTCTTCTCTCTCATGTCTTTCTCCCCTCAGGATCCTGCCTCTGCCTGTATCCTAAGTCCTTCTTAGAACTAGAGGCTCCCCCATTGCCCCAACCCAGGGTGTGTGAGGAGAATCTGAGCCCCCTGGTGTTACTACTAAAGAGGAGACAAATTGCAGAGCCAGGGGAGTGTCACTTCCTGGACCGGCCTGGTGAGCAGCCCTCCTGCCCAAGTGCTCCCATCTAACTCCCCAGCTCTGAAATCTCACACCCTATATCCCTATTTCCTCACCAGCTCCGGAAGCACTGATGCAGGCCCTGGAAGACTTAGACTATCTGGCAGCCCTGGATGATGATGGGAACCTGTCAGACCTGGGTGTCATCCTATCAGAGTTCCCCCTGCCCCCTGAATTGGCCAAAGCCCTGCTGGCTTCATGCGAGTTTGACTGTGTAGATGAGATGCTCACCCTGGCCGCTATGCTCACTGGTATAAATTATTCCTATAAATCAGTGACTCTTGCAGCCACTTCAGCCCTTCCCCTTGTGCTTTGGTCCTCCTAAGGTCCGCCAAACTAGGCTCTGCTCTAGTTCCTGCCCTCACAGCACCTAAAGAAATAGGCTTAACCATCTATCTCTCTCTTGTCTCTGTACTCTTTTCGCTCTGCTGGTTCTTGTCCCTCAACATCCTTAAATCTCTCCTATCTGTTACTGCTAAAACCACACTCCCAGGCTGGGCGCGATGGCTCATGCCTGTAATCCTAGCACTCTGGGAGGCTGAGGCAGGCGAATCGCTCAAGGTCAGAAGTTCAAAACCAGCCTGAGCAAGAGCAAGACCCCATCTCTACTAAAAATAGAAAGAAATTAATTGGCCAACTAAAAATATATAGAAAAAATTAGCCAAGCATGGTGGTGCATGCCTGTAGTCCCAGCTACTCAGGAGGCTGAGGCAGTAATATCGCTTGGAGCCTAGGAGTTTGAGGTTGCTGTGAGCTAGGCTGACACGGCACTCTAGCCAGGGCAACAGAGTGAGACTATGTCTCAAAAAAAAAAACAAAAACAGACACACTCCCCTCTTTCTAAACCCTATGCTCCCCTTTGGCTGTCCAGCACAATCTCTATCTTGTTCTATCTAGTGTCTTGTGTGCCACTGAATATCAGCTTCAGGCCCACCATACCACTGAAGTGGCTTTCAGCTCACCAGTGACCTCCCAGATACCTTACCCAATGGACACTTTTGAGCCCTTATTCATGACTCTCTTGACACTTGAGAGCGCTGACTGCTCCCACCTTGAAACTGCCTTCTCCCTAAGCCTCTGTGATGCTGATCCTCGTGACTTTCGTCTTACTCCTCTGGCCATTCCCTTAATCTCCTCTGTGGGCTCTTCATCCTTTGCCTATGCATTATAAGTTGGACCGCAAGGTTCTATTCTTACCCCTTTTGTCTTCTCACTCCCTGGGCTCTCTGAACAAATTCATCCATACTCTTGGTTTGAAGCTATGTTTATCCTTAAAATTTCCAAACTTTGTACCTTGTATTTCTCAGGCATAATACCATTCTGCTACTACTACTACTACTACTACTACTACTACTACTACTACTACTGAGAGAGAGAGAGACAGACAGAAAGACAGATTGCCTCAACTCCTGATGGGCATTTCTACCAAAATAGTCAACAGCACCTCAACTCAGAACTGAACTCAAGGGCTCTATTAAACTACTCCCTCACCACCTTCACCACAAAATCTTTTCCTTGCTTTGGATTCTCAGCTTCAGATGATACTATCATTTCTGCTGCTCCACTACTATTATTTTAGACATCTTTCTACAGGTTCTTTCATTTTTATCTCATAAATGTCTTTTTTAAAAATTCTTCTGCTTCTCTCCATATTCACTGCCAGTGATTGTTAGGGCCCCATCATTGTTCAGCTAGATTCCTCCCTTCTCCTAATGAGTCATGTGAACTTTTTCAAACACATGGACTCTTTTACTTAAAAACTCTTCTTTAACAGCTATTCTTTACCTTCAAGATAGATGTAAACTCCTTTGAACAGCACATCTAGCTTCTCATGACCTTGCCTATAGCTACCTCTCCAGTTTTATCTTCTACCATTGTGCCACGTGTCATTCCCTCCACCCACACCAGGTGGCTTGCCATTCCCCAAAATGCAGTTCCCAAATATGCTCTCCCTGCCCCTTAGCCACTGAGCTAATTCCTACTCAAATTTCAAATGCTGGTCCAAGGGTCCCTGTCCTTTTCTCCCACATAACTCTTGTCCCCACCACCACCAAAGCCTGGATCAGGTACCCTTCTCTGTTTCCATGGTACCACATACATATGCCTGTCAGGCTTATAAAGTCTGCTTACTTGGTTTCTCCCACCAGACTCTAAGCTCCTTGAGGACAGAGACTGTCTTTCATTTATTTATCCTAAATGTTTAATAAAGTGCATAGCACCTAAAAGTTATCAATGTCTTTTGAATAAAGTTCCCAAAGGAACACTTCTACCTTTTTGATGTTTTGCCTGTACACTACTATCCTTTCTCATTCCCCAAAACTGCCTTTCTCTCTTCTGCCTCCAGCTGCCCCTGGGTTTACCCGTCCTCCACTCTGTGCAGAAGAAGCTGCCCTGCGTCGGGCCCTGGAGCACGTGGATGGCGACCACAGCTCTCTGATCCAGGTGTATGAAGCCTTCATACAAAGTGAGTTCTGCATTCTCTTATAGAATCACAGATTTTCCAAAGAAAGGGAGTGGTATACAACCAGCTGACACATCTCTGTGCCCGGGAAAAGGTGGCCCTTTGGCCGAGAGTTTGGTTCTTTCAGGGTCTCAAGGACTTTAGTTGTAGCTGTTCCTTTCCTCTCCTAGGTGGAACAGATGAGGCTTGGTGTCAGGCTCGAGGTCTAAACTGGGCAGCTTTGTGCCAAGCCCATAAACTTCGGGGAGAGCTCCTAGAACTCATGCAGCGAATTGAACTTCCTCTGTCCCAACCAGCCTTTGGCTCTGAGCAGAATCGCAGAGACCTTCAGAAAGCACTGGTGTCGGGATACTTCCTCAAGGTTAGGGGAAAGGGTTGGGGTGAGGGTCATAAAAAGAGCAAAGGGCAGAACGAACAAATATTGGTATGCCACCTCTGAAATTGGGGTCCAGGTGGCCAATCAAAGATTCTTTAGAACAAGAAGGACTTTTCCTTTGAGGCTTTGGGGTATAAGAGTCTGTGGAAAATGCCATATTGTATAGTAGGTACCAGCCAACACCTAGAGGTAATGCTTTATTTTTAATACTCTTACCACCCTTACTAATTCTTTCTTAGCCCCTTTTCTTTTTTCTACTATCTGCCACCTCAGTTTTATTTATTCCATCAATATTTTTGCCTTTTAATGAGGTTGCCCGAGACACGGACGGGACTGGAAATTACCTGCTCCTAACCCATAAGCATGTGGCCCAGCTCTCCTCCTACTGCTGCTACCGAAGCCGCAGGGCTCCAGCTAGACCCCCACCATGGGTACTTTACCACAATTTCTCCATATCCAAAGACAACTGCCTTTCCATTGTTTCTGAGATTCAACCACAAATGTAAGTTCCCTGACACCTCTGCCACACTGCCCATTCCTCTCTCTGGGGCCAAAATGATGGCTGGTGAGTTAGAGAGACTTAAGAAGAAGGAATCATAGTGGTTTATAATAACATATGATTTGAGGAGAGAGGATTTGTGGAAGGAGTGGTGGGAAGTTTAAGAGTCTGCATTTTAAAAGAAGGTACACAGATCATCTAATTGTGACTCTCTCTGTTAGGCTGCTGGAGTTGGCCCCTCCATACTTCCTGAGTAACCTGCCCCCCAGTGAGAGCAGAGACCTCCTGAACCAGCTAAGAGAAGAAATGGCAGATTCTTCAGCAGGGAGTGAATCCCCCTCAGCCCAGGAGTTCAGAGATGCCTGTGTCCTGCAGTAACCTGCCTACATAAGGAATGGAGCTGAACTCATCTCATCGCATTAGATCCTCCCTCAGGCTAGCATCAAGGCAGCCAACCAGATTTAGAAGCTAAACTTTTAGGATCAAATGTAAATCCTAGAAGAATTTACAAAGAAATGGTGGGGTGAGAATGGAGAGAATGGGATAAGCCTCAGTCTTCATAGGGTAGAACCCTTTCCTTAGCATTCTTTCATTTAATGGAGAGAGACTGACATGCTCCCCATTCCCCCCAACTTATGCCAAAAATATTCTTGTACTCCCTTTCGGTCTATAAAAGATTTTTTTTTCTATGATGCTAACTTTGAGTTTGGTTCTGCAGCAACATATACAACACCCATAAGTCAGAGATGACACTATATCAAAGATCCAGGGCCAACTCTTCCAGCTGTAGCCTCTTGCCTGGTTCCCATCTCTGGTCAGGCCTTCATGCTATGGCCAACATCACTGTCACTAACACAGAACATGAGTCGACTGGCTATAGTTGGCCTCTGGCCCTACCTCTCTTCCCTCTGTTACGCTGCTCCAGCCTCTGGGTGAGGGGTCTCAAAGGACTTTAGTTGTAGCTGTTCCCTTTCCTCTAGAACAGAGGTGCTTGAGGACTCAGACAAAATCTTCCCTTTCTTCCTCATACAACTTAAATCCTACTACTTTTAAAACCTGAAGGCTATTGCAACCATCTCCTAATTCGATCTTCCATCAACAAGCTTCTCAACATGCCCTGGCCCACCCACAAGCTGAAGTCTAACAACTTCAGAGACATCATGCTTTCCTTTCTTTCCAGCTGGGTACTCTTTCCCCTTTTCTGTCCTTGGACGATTAACTTTGGTATCCTCCATCATCTTGCACATTGTAAATGTGTGTGTAGAATATGATGGAAAGAAAGCTTTATTTTTAGTCCTTAGAACTCTGCTTTTTTTCCTCAGAGTTCCCTCCTTTGGAGAGTCTATCTGTTCTCATCATTTCATCTACCTCCACCTGTATGTGAATGTCAACTGATCTCCCTCAAAGGCAGTTTTCCAGTATTTATTCTCTCTAGGTCTAGCATTTAGTTTTGCCTATAAAGTTAATCTTGCTCCAATCTTTCCAATTTCCCCTTTATCATCCACAGCACCATTGATTTCCTGATCCTCCACATTTCCAGTCTTGGAATCTGTCATTCTTAGTCTTGTCACTTTCAAATTATTTGCTGAATTCTGCTCACCCTAACTCTACTGTGCCCATTAACTTTATACACTGTTTCCTCCTCTCCCTCCTTTGTCCCTCCCTGTGCGACACCAGAGCCAGATTTTCTTCCTAGATTTTCTGTTTAGTTGGGTGGATAAGTGTCTGTCTCGCCTACCACCCAGGCGTATTGTGAGGCTCAAGAGGGAGGACATAGCCAGCAGGCTGAGCGCATGCGACAACATGAGGCTCAAAGGCAGGAAGGAATCCTTAGCGATTATTTTACAGTTGAGGGATGAGATGCCCAGCGTGGACAACCCTCTGGTTCCTGTCACAATCAGCCAGACTGTTGAGCTCCAGCACCTCCTCCATTACTCCGCCGTCGTTGGCGTTTTCCTTCCTTCACGAAACCTCGTACAGACCCAACCAGCACCGGCTGCAGCCGCCCTTCCCAGCTCGGGTCGGAACGCAGCTGGTGCCCGCAGAACCCAGCTCCCAACCTACCCTCCAAGAATCCAGAGTCCCTCAGGAGGGCAGCTCCCATTGGCCAGCCCGTCCCCCTTCCCGTATTTCATTGGCTACTGTGCTGCAAGTCCCGCCTTCTCGGCGCCTCAGGTGCCAGCTGTGAAGCGGGAAATGGCGGGAAAGGCAATGTCTGAGCGCGCCTGGCATCTGCGCTACGCCGGCCTGGGAGCCCGCCGGGGGCCGCGGAGCCCTCGACGATAGCCTCAAGGGCTTGCTGCTCCTCACACGCTGGGGCGCCACAGGACCATGGGCGCCGGGAGCCGCGCGCTCCACCGCTCGGGGCTCAGCGTTCCAAGCTGCGCATCCGTCCTGAAAAGAGCGCCTGGCGGATTGAGCAGGCGTCGCTCACACCACCGAGGCTAGCCCGGACACGGAAGCCACCTTGTTGTCTTCGGCCCAGGGCTGCAGGTTCTGCAGCGCGAAAAGGGACGAGTTGTGCAGGCAGAGCGGGTCCGGGGGCAGCGGCGGCCTCAGGGGCCGCGGTAGCGCGTCCTGCTGCAGGTGCAGGAGCAGCCGGCCCGCGCGATGCCTCTCTGCCTCCCGCTCCTCCGCCGTCTGGCGCCTGGGCGGGCGAAGACACGGGGTCAGCAAGGGTGGCCCTCGCCCACCCCGCACCTCACTACCCCTTGGCCCGGCCCGGGGACCCCAGTCCGCCCTCGCCCGCGCCGCCCCTCACCGCCACTTGGTGCGTCGATTCTGGAACCACGTCTTGACCTGTGCGTCGGTCATTCGCAAGGCCTTGGCCAGCGCCGCCCTCTCTGCCGAGGCCAGGTACTTCTGGCGCAAGAAGCGCCGCTCTAGCTCCAGCACCTGCGAGCGGGAGAAGGACGTGCGCGGCTTCTTCCGCTTCGGGGGCGTCCGGTTTTGGTAGGGGTGGCCTATGCGGCGCGTCCCGGAGAAGGGTGAGAGCGCAGCTAACGGGAGGAAGAAAGAGCAGAGCAGGCCAGGATTTGCAGGGTGGCCGGAGGTGTCACTGAGAAGAGAGCGCGGCTGCCCAGGCCGCAGGACTCCCACTCCCGCGTCTGGTCCTTCCCTGGCCCCAAGCTCGGTCCCGCATCAGCAGAGGCCTCTAGACCAGAAAGGCCCTCAGAAGAAATGGCCCTCCCCCTTGGGTGAGGGAAAGACGTCCCCTATAACTTCACCCTACCCTCCCCGCGTTGTGGACAGTGGGACTGCAGAGGAGGGCGCGGGGCACCGACGGCAGCTCCCGTCCCATCGCCTACAGGACCAAGAAATCCGAGTTGGGGGATGATCCCCGGGGAAGATCTGGGGGAAGGTATGAAAAGGATCCTTCAGTTGGAGCAGAAAGAGATGAAGAAACGGGTCAGAGTGGGACATGACACTGGGGGATGGGGAACCTCACCCGTGAGCCGGTCCTTGGCAAAGCGGCGGCCGCTGTCCATCCAGGGGAAGGTGAGTCCAGCTAGGCCCCCGGCGCCGCCCAAACCCGAGGGCCCAGGCACTGCCGGCGCACCTCCCGTGGGTGGTGGCACAGGCAGCGGGCGATGCGCAGGGACGCGGATCACGCCGCCCGGGCCCACTCCAGAGCTGCCGGGTAGCGGAGCCAGTGAGCCAGCGGGTCCGTAGCCTGAGGTTCCGTGGAATCCACCAGAGTACGCCGCACTCTCCCCATGGCCCTGGCCCGCACGACCCGGGCCTAGGCCGCCCCCGGGGGGTTCGGGGCCGCTCAGGATCTGATCGATGCCGAAGCTGATTGGCTCGTGGTGTGGGAGGTTGTGGGGAGCCAGCATTGCTGGCTCCATGGGTTTGGGCCAGGGAGAACCTCAGGAGATTTGGCGGTTTGGGAGATGCCTTGGGTAGCACCAGGAGCCCGGCGGTGGCGCGCTCTAGACGGCAGACTCAGGGGCCTGATGGGCTGGCCAAGGCGGGGCGCCGGGGCCCCCGGAACGGCAGCATCCCCGTGCACCGGTAGCAGCCGCGCCCCTGCCAGCCGCTGCCAGGCGTCCGCTCGGGGACTCGCATCCCGGGGAGCGCGGCCAGCTGGGGCCCCAGGAGCTCCCTTACTGACTCTGTAGCGCAGATGGACGCTGGGCTGCCGGGGTTGCTGCCCGAGTCCCGGTCGGAGAGGGTTGGCCAGCTCGGGCTTGGGCAGTGACTGACAGATCGGCCCGGGGTGGGTAATGGGGGCTGGGGATAGAGCAGGGGCGGGGCCCAGCCGTTAAAGGGGAAGGGACGCCTGTTTGCGCCAAGCGCGGGGGAAGACCGGAGGGCGGAGATGTGCGGGGCGGGGTGGAGGAGGGCAGGGGGCGAGAGAGTTAGGGACGAGGATCGGCGCGGGAGGGGCCCCAGAGTGGACCGCTGAGTCAGCGGAGATGCTCACCGCGCCTTGATCCTTGCTGGCCTCTGCCTTTGGGCGCCCTCCGCCTCACCGGCTTCCTCCGCAGGTGCCTCCTTACCCAGCCCCCACTCTTCACCTCCCGATGGATCCTGCTTGACAACTCCTGGATTCGTTGTGGCCCCCGCCTAAGTGCCCTCGAAGACCAAATCTCGTTGTGGTTTCCTGGCTGCGTAAGAAGCGGCTGGGGAACGGCGCCCGGCGAGCTGGAGGCCCAGGAAGAGGACAGGTGTGGGAAGGGGTTGGCAAGGCGCGTCGGGTGGGCTAGGGCGGGGACAGCTACTCTGGGCCGGTGATTCTGGTGCATCTCCTGGCCTCTCCTGGAGGGCCCCAGTAATTGGTGCCCTGCATTTCTTAGAATTTCTCTTTTCCGAAATCAGTGTAAAGCGGGCCCATGGCTTAACCCAGGCCAACTCAGGCCGGTGGAAGAAGCTTGGGCTGGCGTTCTACTACCCTCGACTGCAAATGCAGAGGGCTCCCAGCGTGGAACCATTCTGCACCTAGGAAGTCTATTCTCACATACTCTTCCCTCCCACAAAGGCGGGAGGGCGAAATCGCCACAGGCGACACGTGGGACCTCACGGAGGCCTTGGGAGGATCTCAGCCACCTAATTTCCCATAGACACTTTACCCCACCCAAGCCCAGAAAATGCGCCTGGAGCGTGTCAGAGAAGGGAGGTGGGGAAAGACCGAAGCTGCTCGGTGACCTTGTGACCTCTGGCCGCGGACCCAGAAGCTTGGAGTGTGTGAACTCTGCGTCCTTCCCCGGGATGGGACCCCCGCCGGGTGGGCCCCCGAGCTTTAGACCCGCCCCCGCCGCCGCCCTGCCCGGTGCAGGCCGCCGTAATCAGGTTAGCTGGGCCAGAATTACATTACCTTCCCCGGCCCGCCCCGGCCCCCGGGGGGGCCCTGGCGCCTCCGAGCCGGTGAGACTGGGCGCAGGGAGGGGGGCGCTTCTACCATCCCGCCGGCGGGTGGGCACTGGAGAACAGCTCAGCCTGCCTCGGACACGTGGTGGCCAAAGGACCCCGCCCCGCTGTGCCAGCCCTGACCCTCTACCCCAGCCCATCCCAGTGTTCAGCTCCACCCTGCTGATTTCCCGCGTGAACCGAAATGCCTTCTAAGTCTAGTAAATGGGTCTCCCTGGGAGCACAGATCTTCCAATTGATTCTTCAGGATCTCCTGGGGGAAAACTCTGCCCCTCCTTTCTCCCCAGCAGATGGACTGGCAGCCTGGTGCCTGGGGCAGGGTGAGGGGGTCTTTTCTCTCCTGGGAACCAGGAATGATATTTGGGCATCTGGGCAGGAAGAGAACAGTGGGCTCTCTCCACCAGCCCTGCAGTGGTCTCAGAAGCCTTAGGTCTGAAGGGGGTGAACCAAGAGTGGTGGTGGGGGGGGTTAAGCAGTAGGCATTAATTATATGTGACATCTTCCCTCATGTCCATCATCCAATTTTCTCCAGCCCTTCCTCAGTCCTGCTCACAGCCCCTTCTGAAAGAGGGTGGGGCTCTTGTCAATTTGGCAGCTGTATTTTTATCTTGGTGGAAAAGACAGGCAACAACCTCCCCTGTCCCTTCACAGAAACCCAGCACCCTTCTCAGTGGTAGAGAGAACTACAAGGAAGCATGAAACGTCTGCTGTTCAGGCAAAACCTTCAGAGAGATAGCAAGGGTTGGACTCTCCAGGATGGGAACAGAGACCCCAGGGAGATAGCAAAAAATATAGCCTCTGAAGGAGTTTGGCCTGCAGAAAGGAGTTTGCCAGTTCCTTTCTCTGATCTGAAGGGGGGAGGGGTGAATTAATCAATGAATGAAAAAAGGCAACATTGTGCAGACCTGTACATCCCTACCTTTTGAGGTCTGCACAGATGGTACTGCTACCCAACTGATCCTTTGAGAAGAATGGTCACAAGCTCAGTAGTACATGCAAATCTTCTGGGAAGTTTTTGTTTGTTTTGAAAATGGTTTTAGTGTCTTAAAGAACAGAAGGCATCCAGTTCTGTCAGCCACAGACCTGGGAATATCTCCTCTTCTCCTCCGCCTTCTCTTTCTTTTTAAGAGTCAAGATCTTACTGGCACCAACTTCTGGACTCAAGCAATCCTCTCCTCATCCTCCTAAGGAGCTGGGACTACAGGTGGGTACTAACCACCACTCCTGGCTCAGCTTGGCATGTCTCTTGCCTCCACCTCTCTGATTGATTCTCAGGGAGAGGCTGGTTTCTGCTAGTCCATGTTGAAGACAGAGGCACTGGGGTGAGTGCCCCTCATAACTGCTTTGCATCTGTCTTACCATATCTTCTGTTGTTCCCCACGTCCCTCAACTCTTTAAGTCTTCAGTCCTTCAAGGCTGCAGCTGCATAGAAAGAGGCCAAAGGCCTGGGCTTGTTCTCCCTTCTCTCCTTCCTGTTGTTGGTGCAGTGTTCTTCATTCCAGAAGGTTCCCAATCCTATATTGTCATTTCTCTCATTGATTTAGTCATTCCTACCCTCAACTGTCTTAGATCTGTATCATTTAGACAAAGTTTTTGCCTGACTCTTCAAGAGAAACTATGTTTTTCTTTTCCCTTTTACTGTCCACACCCACTCCCTCCATTTCCCCATCATTTATTGCTGTTTTTACCCAATGCAAGCTGGCTTCACTACACTGACCCTTTCTCAGAGAGCTCTAGTATCCTGTATCCCTTCCAGGACTTCTCTGACATGTTTTACTTTATTGATCACTGTTTCTTGAAATGTCCCCCCCCCTTTTTTTTAGCTTTGTAATATTGTCTTATTCTATACCGTTAGACTTTCACAGTCACTGGTATGTCTTTCCTCCACTGATTTTCCTTCTTTCACTGAAGACTGTGAACATTTTTTAGAACTCAGACTTAAGCATTTTTAAAAAATCTCTACATCTGCTTACACACACTCAGCTAGGTAGTAACTCTGAAACCTCCATCCTTGGTTCTGACACTCCAGCCCCACCACTCTTCTAGCCTTCTGGCCAGGTCCACCTGCCTTCCCTGAAGCCACCTTAAGTCCAACAGCTTTGAAGACATGCTTCCCTCCCAGGCTCCTCATTCACCCTCTTACCTAGGCCTACCAAACAAGGTCCCTGGCTACTTCCTCCTGTTATGTTTTCCTTTGAAATACTTCAGATACAGCCCTTCTTTTCCATTTCTATTGCTAAATTCCCTAATCTTAGCTGTCATCACTACCACCTGGATTCATTCATTTGTTCATCCAGAAGTTGTGATTGAAAATCTACTATGTGCCTGGCACTGGAGAGATAGCTGTGAACACAACAGGAAGAAAAAGAATCCATGCCACTGAGAAGCTTATGTTCTAGTGGGAGAGACAGATGGAAAACTAGAAAATATATCTTCTTAAAAAACTAGAAAATATTTCTAATATATATTAGATTTCTAATATATATTTCTAATATATATTAGAAATATATATTAAATAATAAATGTTAAGAGTGCAAATAAACCGGGCGAGGTGGCTCACGCCTGTAATCCTAGCACTCTGGGAGGCTGAGGCAGGTGGATTGCTGGAGGTCAGGAGTTCAAAACCAGCCTGAGCAAGAGCGAGACCCCGTCTCTACTATAAATAGAAATAAATTATATATATTTCTAATATATATAGAAAAAATTAGCCGGGCATGGTGGCACATGCCTGTAGTCCCAGCTACTCGGGAGGCTGAGGCAGAAGGATTACCTGAGCCCAGGAGTTTGAGGTTGCTGTGAGCTAGGCTGACGCCACGGCACTCGCTATAACCTGGGCAACAAGTGAGACTCTGTCTCAAAAAATAAATAAATAAATAAAAAAGAGTGCAAATAAACACTAAGAAGAAAAATAAAGCAAAGAAGTGAAAAGGTGGGTGGGTTGTTATTTATCCACAGTGATCACAGAAGCCTCATAAAGAACCTGAAAGAAGGAGGGAGCCATTGGGTTATCCAAACATTTCAAAGTGGGGACACAGTAGTAGGAGGATAGTGTGTTTGTGGAACAAACAGTGAAGGGTTCAGTGTGGCTGGAGAGACTTATGCAGGGCCTTGCAGACTACTGTAAGGACTTTGGCTTCTATTCTAGTTGAAAAGGGAAGCTATCAAAGGATTTTAAACAGTAAAATGCAACCTAATTTTTCGATTTTATTTTTAACAGTGTTGGGGTGTAAGTAACATAAAAGTGTACAGTTTGATAAGTTTTGACATATGTACGCACTCATAAAACCATCACCACAATCAAAATAATAAACATCTATCACTTCGAAAACTTTCCTGTGTCCTTTTTGATTCATGTTTTACCAGAATCACTCTGAGCTGCTAAACAGGCTGAAGAGTCACAAAGGTAGGCAAAAGGAAAGCGGTCAAGAAGCCACTGCAATCAGAGGAAAGATGATGATGATAGCTTGGACCAGGGAGGTAAGTAAGCAGTGGCTGTAATGAACAGTTGATTAATAAATCACTAAACTTCTTGCTGATTATTCACTCCACTCTGAAAAGTTCTTAGGATAAAATAATATGTTAAATAAAATATATGATAAAAATGTTCTTAGGATAACACCCTCCCTTCAAAAAGGTCTGCTAAGGCCGGGCGCGGTGGCTCACACCTATAATCTAGTACTCAGGGAAGCCGAAGCGGGCAGATCACTCCAGGTCAGGAGTTTGAAACCAGCCTGAGCAAGGGTGAGACCCCAGTCTCTGCCAAAAATAGAAAGAAATTAATTGGCCAACTAAAAATATATAGAAAAAATTAGCAGGGCATGTGGTGCATGCCTGTAGTCCCAGCTACTTGGGAGGCTGAAGCAGAAGGATCGCTTGAGCCCAGGAGTTTGAGATTGCTGTGAGCTAGGCTGACGCCACAGCACTGTAGCTGGGCAACACAGTGAGGCTCTGTCTCAAAAAAAAAAAAAAAGGTCTGCTAGCTCCCAATTGCCTTCAGACAACTTCTTAAGGCCCTACTTTTTTTTTTTTTTTTTTTGAGACAGAGTCTTACTTTGTTGCCCAGGCTAGAGTGAGTGCCATGACATCAGCCTAGCTCACAGCAGCCTCAAACTCCTGGGCTCAAGCAATCCTACTGCGTCAGCCTCCTGAGTAGCTGGGACTACAGGCATGCACCACCATGCCCGGCTAATTTTTTCTATATATATTAGTTGGCCAATTGACTTCTTTCAATTTATAGTAAAGACGGGTCTCGCTCTTGCTCAGCCTGGTTTGGAACTCCTGACCTCAAGCAATCCACCCTCCTGGGCCTCCCAGAGTGCTAGGATTACAGGCGTGAGCCACCACGCCCGGTGGCCCTGCTTTTAATAATCACTCTCAATCCACACCTTCCCTTCCCTCCCCTTCCCTTTCTATTCCACCACATGTCCACGCCTTTCCCGTGTCTAATTTGTACCCACACAAAGTTCCACTTTCTCCAGAAAGTCTTTTCGGGGTCTCCATTTGGGATCTTTCCCTTTGAATCTCCAGTTGCATTTGTTGTTAATATCTCACAGCAAATTTATTCTTTTTAAAATCTCACTATAAGTGCTCAGCGATATCGGTGTACAAGCTCTCAGGACCCTCTCCCGCCTCCCCAAGTGCGGGCTGGGCCTATGCTACTACAGGCGCTGGCTGCCCAAGTGTGTCTGTCTGGGCCAGTGTCCTAGTCGTCCTCCCCTCCTCCTTCGGCATCTGCTCTGCATTAGTCTGTCCCAGGCCTCCGCAGGCGCCGATGATTAAATCATCATCATTAACAGGGCCTGCCCCCCCCACTCCATCCCCGGCAGCCGGGGAAGAATAGGGGGGTAAGATCACTACGAAGTCCCTGGGGGTCTCTCCCTTCCCACCTCAGCTGCACCCTCCTCTCCGAGACTCCGCAAAGCCCCAGGAAACTCTCGTCAGGGAGCGAGGAGAAGGCCTGCCACCTGGGTGAAGCTCCGCTACGAGGACGCGTCAGCCAACTAGGGCGGCATTACGAGAGGACCCAGGAGGGGCATCTTCAGCCCGGTTGTCGTCACAGGAGACCGATGACCCTATCGGTAGCGGGTGCAGACCACCAGGCCTTTTAGGGTAGGAGGGGGGCAGTCTTTCGCAGGCTCCAAAAGTTAGTCCCGAGGTCGTGTAGGGTCTATTATGATGATTCCTACAGGAGGTCGAAGAGATAGGACCCTTCCCCACAGTCCCCCCCACTCCCTAATTACGGATTGCGGAGGGGGAGGGGCCACTGGGGCTCAGGTGAGCACACGGGGAGAAAGAGACATGGGCGGGGCCTAACAGAGGGTGAGCGAATCCGAAAAGACCTAGGCCCTCGTTGCTGGGAGACAAGTCCCGCCCCGCAGGCGGCACCGGAAGTGGCAGGCCAGGATCAGCCTTTAAGATGGCGTCTCCTCAGGGGGGCCAGATTGCGATCGCGATGAGGCTTCGGAACCAGCTCCAGTCAGTGTACAAGATGGACCCGCTACGGAACGAGGTGCAAGGGCGGCAGGGTTACTGCTGTGGTCGGCTAGCGGTGCGAACTGGGGCGGGCTAGAGGACGGGCGGTGGCTGGCTGGGCGCCCTGTGCGCCTGCGCAGAGTGAGGGCGCCCAATGCGCCTGCGCGATTGCGGTTGGGTTGCCAAACTTCGGGCTAGGACGCCTGCGCATTGTGCTGCCCACGTCTTGTAGTCTCCCTTGGGAAAGGAGGGTCAGGCGAGTCCACGTGAAGGGTGCCCCTGCTGTGCGCGGAGCCCTCTGCTGGGCGGAGGAGGAGTGCTACTGCCCGGGAGTTGATGCCCTGCTGACTGCACAAGGTGCGGGGCTCGGCTGTCTGTCGAAGCTGATGAAACAGGCGACCCCCAAGTCAGGAAGGCGCACAGGTTTGGGGGTGGGGATGGGTGACTGGTAACAGGAGGGTGTTTCTGCAGGAGGAGGTTCGAGTGAAGATCAAAGACTTGAACGAACACATCGTTTGCTGCCTCTGCGCTGGCTACTTCGTGGATGCCACCACCATCACAGAGTGTCTTCATACTTGTGAGTGCCCTGGATGGAGCCTGCCTGGTAATCCAGGCCCTAGTCCTCACCAAGCTGACTGGCAGCCTCTGCGCTACCCACCTCACCCGTCCAGGCACCCCAATCAGCCCATGGATCCAGTTTCCAGAGGGCCTGAAAGTCTGCTTTTCTCTTCCTGCAGTCTGCAAAAGTTGTATAGTGAAGTACCTCCAAACCAGCAAGTACTGCCCCATGTGCAACATCAAGATCCACGAGACACAGCCACTGCTCAACCTCAAACTGGACCGGGTCATGCAGGACATCGTGTACAAGCTAGTGCCTGGTTTGCAAGACAGTGAGTGGTGGTTGGTAACCTGACTTTGAGGGGCCTCTTGAGGACTAATGCTGAGTGGCAGCTTGAGATGACAAGGGCTTTGGTGGGAATCATGTAGGTAAAGAGGTCGACAGCCAGAGGAACAAAGAGTGAGGGAGGGCTAATGCTTTACTCCCATACTTCACCCACTCCTAGGTGAAGAGAAACGGATTCGGGAATTCTACCAGTCCCGAGGCTTGGACCGGGTCACCCAGCCCAGTGGGGAAGGTATGTCCCTGGTAGCAGGAGGGTAAATTAAAGCCCCCAGAGTATTCCTCTTGCCCAGTTTTCCCCTCTGGGGAAAAGGGGTGTGGAACCTGTACCATCATCCTCTTTCTACCCTGTCTTCCTCAGAGCCAGCCCTGAGCAACCTTGGCCTCCCCTTCAGCAGTTTCGACCACTCTAAAGCCCACTACTATCGCTATGATGAGCAGCTGAGCCTATGCCTAGAGCGGCTGAGGTGAGGGGCAGGTTGGGGGTTGTATGAGGTGACAGTGCTGATGACTCAAACCCAGGAAGGGACTTGGGGAGAGGTTGAGCAGTGAGGGAGTGTCTGTTTCCTTGAAGAGACTATATCATGGCTCTGGGTTGGGGAGAGGAGGAAAGGTAAGGCTCCCTAACCTGTGTCTGTTTCTCCTCAGTTCTGGCAAAGACAAGAATAAAAGCGTCCTGCAGGTGAGAGGGGCTGAGGGGAGGGCCTCTCTAAGGAGACTTGCCTCCCCGTGACTCTTCCCTCATACACCTTGTCCTCTTCCCTTCCCCCCATCCCCAGAACAAGTATGTCCGATGTTCTGTTAGAGCTGAGGTACGCCATCTCCGGAGGGTCTTGTGTCACCGCTTAATGCTAAATCCTCAGCATGTGAGTAATCCCACAGTAGGTTTTTTTGAGGGAAAAGAGGCTAAGAAGGGAGGGATAGAGTGTATGGTGGACTAGGGTAGTTCTTGACTTGTCTGACCTGTCAAAGAGAATTCCTAAAACTGCCCCCTTCTCCCTTCTAGGTGCAGCTCCTTTTTGACAATGAAATTCTCCCTGATCACATGACAATGAAGCAGATATGGCTCTCCCGCTGGTTCGGCAAGGTAAGCCAGTGCCCAGGCAGTCCTCAGGGCAAGCGTGGGCTTAAGGGGACCTTTTGGCTAAGGACACTCCCCACTGACTACTTCTTTCCCTTGTTCTCTCCTTAGCCATCCCCTTTGCTTTTACAATACAGTGTGAAAGAGAAGAGGAGGTAGGGGCCAAGTCCCCACTCCATCCCACTCCCCTTCCCTCCCCAGATATTTATGTGAAATTAACTGTGGCTTTATTTTTTGAAATAAAAACTTTTAAAAAGCATCTCTCTTTTTTCTTATCCTCCTCTGAGTTTCATTGTGAAGGAAGGGCCTCTCCTCTATGGCCATGAGCCCTCAATGTCTTGCCAAAGAAGAAGGGTAGAGGACCCTATACGTGTGAACCAAGCCACGCACACCACTCTTTCTGGTTAAGAGAAGGCATTCTCATACCACTCTTTCTGGTTAAGACCATTCTTGGCTGGGCGCTGTGGCTCATGCCTGTAATCGTAGCACTCAGAGGCTGAGGCGGGTGGATCGTTTGAGGTCAGGAATTCCAGACCAGCCTGAGCAAGAGCAAGACCCCATCTCTACCAAAAAGAGAAAGAAATTAGCTGGACAACTAAAAATATATAAAAAATATTAGCCGGGCATAGTGGCGCATACCTGTAGTCCCAGCTACTGGGGAGGCTGAGGCAGAAGGATTGCTTGAGCCCGGGAGTTTGAGGTTGCTGTGAGCTATCCTGATGCCACGGCACTCTAGCCCAGGCAACAGAGCAAGACTGTCTCAAAAAATAAAAAAGAGGTGTTCTGGAGGGGAGTGCTCGCCCTCCTTGTATGCTGCAGCACATGTGCAGGCTTGCGTGGAGAAGTCCAAATCCAACAGCACTGGGAGGAGGGCTGGCCTTGGACAGTGACTGTTGCAGGACTGAAGAAGAGTGATATTTTAAAGAAAAAGCCAAAGAATTGCACTATGGTTTTATAATAGGAGGGGAAAGTCTAAAAAACAGATTGGGCCACAGGGATAGTCAGACATGGAGGCCTGGCTGTCCATACAGTATTCAGCAAGCCCTCAGGGCCTGGGACTAGGTGGAGCCAAAGTGAGTAAAGGGTAGTTGAGAAGGAGAAGGAGCTGATATGGAGGAGAGAAGGGCAGCTTCAAGGAACAGAAGGGAAGAAGCAAGACAGGAGCTCCATTGATTCAATTAGTCTCAGTCCTTGGTAGGTCTTGTGTACTGGGTGCTGCCCTGTCATATGGGCCTTTCAGTGGGGTAGCCAGAAACTTGCCCAACTGGGACAGGAAGAGAGGGAGGCCTAGGCAAAGAGTTCATGAAGGCAGCAAATGGGGTGCTGTCCAATCTGGGACAAGTGGAATGGAACAGGCAACATACATATCACCAGAACCTGAATTTACAGCCTAAGTTCCACATTGGCCCAAGTCTGACTCCAGGACTTCTAGGGGATGGTTGTGCCTAGGTGCAGCTGGTTAGGGCTGAAGACATTGAGCTTCCATGGATAGAGGCTGGGTGGCAGAGGACAGGGTGCAGGAAACAGGGAGTGGTTACAGTAAAGGCAGCCTGAACTGTGTAAGAAAGCTCAAGATTTGACTTGCCCTGTGTGGTGTCAGTGCCTGTAGTCCCAACTACTATGGAGGCTGAGGCAGGAGGATCGCTTAACCCAGGAGTTCTAGGTAGCAGTTATGATGGCACCACTGCACTCCAGCATGGGCCGCATAAGGAGACCCCTGGTGGGTTTTTTTTCTTTGTTTTTCTTTTTAGATGGTCTCACCCTGTTGTCCCAGCTAGAGTGCCATTGTGTCAGCCTAGCTCACAGCAACCTCAAACTCCTGGGCTCAAGGGATCCTCCTGCCTCAGCCTCCCGAGTAGACAGGACTACAGGCATGTGCCACCATGCCCGGCTAATTTTTTCTATATATATTTTTAGTTGGCCAATTAGTTTCTTTCTATTTTTAGTAGAGACAAGGTATGGCTCTTGCTCAGGCTGGTCTCTAACTCCTGAGCTCAAATAATCCACCCGCCTCTGCCTCCCAAATTGCAGCCTCCTAGGATTGCAGGCATGAGCCACTGCACCTGGCTTGGGAGACCCCTTTTCTAAAAATAAATTTAAAATAAAGCCCTAGACTCTTAGGTAAAATCTGAGTATGAGTTGGGTGCTCTTTCCTGCTACAATATGCCTGGGCTTCTGGAACATCCCCACCTCTGCACTGAAGAAGTGTATGTAGGCCAAGAGGAGGCTCATAAGGAGAGGCCGCAGACTCTCAGGAAGAGTGCTCCAGTGCGTGGGGCAGATGACAGGGACCCATTGTGGGGACACCTGCAAAGTCTAGCCTGAATAGATTCCTTCCTCATGTGGTCCCCAAGATGACCAAAGGTTCCAGTGTGTCCAGGCCTCCTGCCTAGAATGCTTCTCCCCACCCCATCTCCTTCAGGAAGCACTCCCCCAGCCAGAATCAGGGCTTCTGCCGCTTTTGAGCCTGCCTGGACACCGGCACACATCTGGAGATTTGGGGTTAATTATGTCCATTCCAGGACTCCCCTCTCCCTTTTCTCTGAATTGAAACTCCCTGAGAGCACGCAGGAGTTCTCAAGCAGTTGGCGCAGAGAAAGGCGTTTTCCAGGAGTGATTGTGGGGGAGTGGTGTGGGCTGCGGGAAGGAGAGTAGAAACGCTCCTGGGGACTTTTCAGGGGCCAAGCAGCTGCGGGAGCTGGGTCTTCTAGGTCTTCTCTGAAGGCCCTCCGGTTGGGGCTTGGCGGCAGCTAGGCATCGAAAAAGCCGGGTCTGAAGATTAGTGTGAATGTGGCCCCAGACCTAAAGACCAAGCGTATCGGGATGAGGCCTTTAAGTCACGACACATGCCTGAGGCCAAGGAGCAGCGGAAGGCGCTCAGGCCTGGATCTAGGGTGGAGTCGCCGCCGCGTCTCCGTTTTGTCTGGCGGCGGCGGCGGCGGCGGAGCTGCTGCAGCGCGTCTCCCGAGATGGCTGATGCTGACCGGCTGCGGGCTCCAAGCCCCTTGCCCCTGGCCCCTGGATCCATTCCTCCCTCCCACCCTGACCCAGGGTCACTCGGGTCTCGATCTGTGCCAGGGCGGGCGATCACGCCCACGATTCTCTTGGGCTCTGCGACCCTGAACGCACCCCATTGTGGTGCCGGGCTCCGGAGTCAAAAAACAGGCGGCTTCAGGGTCGCCCCAGGGCTCGGTCCGCCCTCCCTGGGGCACCCTTGGCCTCGCCGTGCTTCCTGGAGGAGACGTCAGTCCTCACCTACAGGGCCAAACCCGTCCTAGTCCCTGCCTTTCTTCTCCCTGCCGTTTCCGCGGCTCACGCTCGCCCGGGGGAGGAGCACTAGGCTTTGCTCCGGCCTTTGGCACCGAGAACGGGCCCTCACTCAGCCAGGCCACTCTCCCAGGGCTTGAGGGGAGGGAGCAGGTGGGGAAAAGGACTGCCTGAGAACCGTGAGACCCAGAGGAACCGAGGAGAGGGAGGGGGTCTGAGCTCGCATCCCCCGGGCGTCCCAGCCCGCCCGCGCCCGGACGGCCGCGGACAGGGGTGAAAAGAATTTACAGACCCGCCGGCCCCAAAGTAACGAAACTAAAATTTTAATGTCTGAACATTAAAATAAAAACATAAAACATAAAAACTCTGCAACAACGTATTCTGAAAGAGAAAATCCCACAAGCGTGCGAGACGAAAGGACTCTCCGCCCCGTGCTCCCCCTTGGACTGGACTTTCCTCGCTCAACTCCCACTTCCCTTTCACCCCGTTCACGGACTTTTCTTACGGATGGGAAGAAGGGGGATAAGCACATCCTTGAGATTATCCTTCTCATCCACCGCCCCAAGGGGGTTATTCTGAGGGTCCTCCAACCTCCCCCCTCCCCCACCTCCTCTCTCTCTCTCTCTCTCTCTCTCTCTCTCTCTCTCTCTCTCTCTCTCTCTCTCTCTCTCTCTCTCTCGGTTCAGAGGAATGCCTGGGACCGGCAGTTTGGAGACTAAAGGTCGTTACTGAGTCAGCCTCGGTTGTGGGGGGTGGGGTGTTGAGCTGAGGCGGGCTGGGGTGGGGGAACCCGCCAAGTGAGAGGTGGGGTATAGGGAATGAGACATAAGGTGGGGGTAGGGCTGAGAATAGGAAACCAGAAAGGAGGTGATGCGGTGAGGTGTGAGAAAGAATCCTATAATAGGAATTGGGATCCCTTCCCAAGGGAGTAAAGGGTGGAATGTGGGGATCTCTACAAGGGGAGAGGGCGCAGGACCCCGACATGTCTGAAGGGATAATGAGAGGAATCTGACAAGTTGGGAGACATGAGAGATTGCCTGAGAATGACAGGGAAGGAAAACCGTGGGACCCGCGGGACAGGAGTGAAGGCTCCAATCCGTGGATCTCCTGGGAAGGACCCAGGGCAGGGACATGCGGCTAGGCGGTGCCGCCAGAAGAGACTGGTAATGATTGAACACCCATGAGCTTCTGCGCTCCCAACCTGGAGCGGGGGCTGGGGCTATGAGACAGCTGAGCATCCTCCCCCCCTAGCCCATAACTGAGGTTTAATCCCTTAATCTTCATCATTAATCACTCACCCTCCACCTACCCCCCTCAGTGGATCCAGTTTCGCCCCAGCTCGGGTTCCAGACACTTTACTGGGAAAAGCCCCCTTCTGTGGCCCCATGATTGTCTCGACTAGTCTCTGGCTGCCGGGATGACCTTAGCGGGGCCACTGCTGTCCTGGGCTTCCTTTACTAGTCTCCGCTTCCCTCTCCTCCCCCAAACTCATATTTGGGGATCGTCCATTCCCAGTACCAAGCCCAGCTGCAGAGGGGAGAACATAGGCAGGAGACATAGAAGGAGAGGAAGGCAAAGGCCCATCAGGAGAGCCCCACACTCTCACAGACACATGCAAGTAATTGAAAGCAGAGGTAGAGGCAGACATAAAAGCCACATAGAGGATGCATGATGAAGGTCGCAATGTCCGCTTGGTGACATGCCTGGGATGGGTGGGGCAGTTCCTGCTGTCTCCTGGGAGCTGCTTTAATTGCAGATTAAGTGAAACCACAAGGATGGTTCTAAGGGCTGAGGCCTGCCCCTCACCATTAATAACCTATTAACAAGGTCCTCAGGCAGCTCAGCTTTCCACGTTGCTGGCTCTACTGTTTCAACCAGCAATGGTCCATCAGGCTTCCAGTGTGTTGCTCAGGGCACCATGAGGGCACTATGTGAATGTCAGGGTATCTGGGGGATGAGAGGTTGTTAGAGGGAGCCCTTTACCAAGAAGACCCCCACTATCAAGATGCCTTCCCTTCCTTTTTGAGGAGTCTTTGACCCAGGTGCCTTAGATATCCTAAGCCCTGTTTGGGGCACCCCTAACGGCAGGCTTCACTTGCCCCAAAGAATAGATAGTTGGACACGGAATACCATAGTACAAAATAGTAGGAGATACAGAAGCCTACAGGCAGGGGTCATAATGGACAGTTCAGGAGAGACTGGCATGGTTCTTTGTGGTGGCACTGCTCAAAAAAAACCCCCAAAAACTAGAAGCACATAATTTCCTGACTAATGGACTAGCAAGTTCCTTGGGAGTGGTAGAGCTTCTCTGTTTCTGGGCTATGAATCCTCCAGCTATTTGGGGGTGGGATGTCAGAACACAACTGTATCTTGCTGGCCTCCTCTGCTGGACCCTCCAGAGCTGCCTTCTTCCTGCAGGATGGCTGTGGGGTGCTCGCCCAGGCCCAGAATAGATGTGGAAGAGAAGAAAGACAGGATACAGAGAAAACAGGAATGAATATCCCAGGCCTCAGAGTTTGTGCTTGGGTTGGCAGGGGTGCTTGTTCCACAATCTGGTTGGGTCCATGAAGTCTGCCCTTCAAGTCACTCCTCTATGGGGAGTGACCCCTCACTGGTCAGGGACCCTTGGCTGTTTCTGAGCCTCCAAAGGCTAAGAAAACCATACCTGAACTATAGGAACTTAATAAAAAGACAGAGAGAGACAAAATTAACTAATTTTTCCAGTCCTCACTGGCAAAACCCCTTTCTGGGCAGTTGCTCCAGCTCCGGGTTTGCTGTGTCTTCTCTCCAGAGGCCCGCTGGTCTCTGGCAGCTTCTCCACGTGTTTTGATTTTGTCAGGGCCTCTAAGCTGTGATGGGGCGACCTCAGGTCCACTCACCTGCTCTCTCTTCCTTGTGGCATCCCCACTATTCCGGGTTGCAGTCGCTCTGCCAGGCCCGTTCTCCGAAGTCTTGTCCCCCCCCCCCCCTTGAGGCACGAATCAGCCTCTTTAAGAGCTTTTCCGGTTGGGGCTTGGCGGCAGCTAGGCATCGAAAAAGCCGGGTCTGAAGATTAGTGTGAATGTGGCCCCAGACCTAAAGACCAAGCGTATCGGGATGAGGCCTTTAAGTCACGACACATGCCTGAGGCCA